CTTTCTGGAGTGCCATGTTGCCACAAGACTTGCTTTTCAAGGCCCAGGATTGTGTTCTGGGCGGTGGCATGGGGCACAGGATATGTTTCCAGCCAACCAGTGGTTGCTTCCACCATTGTGAGCACATGATGTTTGCTTTGGTGGGTTTGTGGGACTGTGATATAGTCAATCTGCCAGGCCTTCCCATATTTATATTTAAACCATTGTTATCCATACCACAGAGGCTTTAATTGCTTGGCTTGCTTGATTGCAGCGCATGTTTCACATTCATGGATAACCTGTGCGATAGTGTCCATGATCAGGTCCACCCCTTGACCACAAGCACATGATGTTTGCTTTGGTGGGTTTGTGGGACTGTGATATAGTCAATCTGCCAGGCCTTCCCATATTTATATTTAAACCATTGTTATCCATACCACAGAGGCTTTAATTGCTTGGCTTGCTTGATTGCAGCGCATGTTTCACATTCATGGATAACCTGTGCGATAGTGTCCATGATCAGGTCCACCCCTTGACCACAAGCCCATCCATATGTTGCGCCTCTTCCCTGATGGCCTGGGGATGGCCCACCGAGCCATAAATAATTCACCCTTATATTGCCAATCCACATCTGCCTGAGCTACAGCCTGGTCTATCTGTTGGTTCTTCAGTGGCCCGACTCTTAGGTACATGAGCATCTATGTGACATACTTTCACAACCGGGTTCTCTAGCCAGGCGGCGATATCTTGCCACAATACGGCAGCCCAGATGGGTTTACGTCTGCATTGCCAGTTGGTCTGCTTCCATCACTGCAACCACTCCCACAGGGTGTTTGCCACCATCCATGAGTCAGTATAGAGATAGAATACTGGCTGCTTTCCTCATTCAGCAATGTCTAAAGCCAGCTGGATGGCTTTCACTTCTGCAAACTGACTCAATTCACCTTCTCCTTACGCAATTCCTGTGACGTGTCACACAGGACTCTATACAACCGCCTTCTACCTCCTGTGCTTTCCTACAATGCGACAGGACCCAGTAAACAGGGCATATTGCCTCTCATTTTCTGGCAGTTTATTATACAGTGGGGCTTCTTCAGCACACGTCACTTCCTCCTCTGGCGATATTCCAAAATCTTTGCCTTTCGGCCAGTCTGTGGTCACTTCTAGAATTCCTGGGCAACTGGAGCTTCCTATTCGAGTCCATTTTGTGATCAGTGCAACCCACTTACTCCATGTAGCATCAGCTGCAGGATGTGTAGAAGGGACCTTCCCTTTGAACAAACAGCCCGGCATTGGCAGCTGGGGTGCCAGAAGGAGCTGTGCTTGAGTGTCAACCACTTCCGAGGCAGCTTGAACTCCTTCATATGCTGCCAATATCTCCTTTTCATTTGGAATATAGCGGGCCTCAGATCGTCAATATCCCCAGCTCCAAAACCTTCGGAGTCAACCTCAGGTCTCCCCTGGTTTCTGCCAGAGGCTCTAGGTAGGGCTGTTCTCCCTGGCTGTGGCGTAGAGCACATTTTTTACATCTTACCCTTTCCGGACTGGCCCAAGGGGTCCTGCATGAGCTATCTCCTTTTTAATTTGCTCAAAGGCTTGTTGTTGCTCAGAGCCCCACTTAAAATAATACTTCTAAGTGACTTCTAAGTCACTTGATAGAGAGAGCTTACAATCAGACTGTAATTTGGAATGTGCATTCTCCAAAACCCCACAATGCCTAGGAAAGCTTGCGTTTACTTTTTACTAGTCGGTGGAGACATAGCTGCTATTTTGTTGATCACCTCCATTGGGGCATGGCAAGGTTCATCTTGCCATTTTATTCCTAAAAAACTGGTTCTCCTGTGCAGGTCCCTTCACCTTACTTCGCTTTATGGAAAAACTGGCTTTCAGAAGAATTTGGATTATTTTCTTCCCTTTCTCAAAAACTTCCACTGCTGTGTTGCCCCATACAATGATACCATTGAAGTATTGCAGGTGTTCCAGAGCTTCACCCTGTTCCAGTGCATTCTGGATCAGTCCATGGCAAATGGTGGGGCTGTGTTTCCACCCCTAGGGCAGGTGTTCAGCCATCCCCAGGAAAGCAGGGCTCCATCACGTGTAACGGTGACTTGGGAAGACAAAACACCATCACTCCAAACGTTCTCCCCCTTCCTTCTTCTTCCTCCAGCTGTGTATGCTGAGCACGATGCCTTATGCTATGGAATATCCTTTTGATCATTGGGGTCAGCTGTCCCAGCCATGTCCCCTCCCAACACCTTGTGCACCCCCAGCCTCCTCGCTGGTGGGGTGGGCTGAGAAGCAGAAGAGGCCTTGACGCTGTGTAAGCCCTGCTCAGCAGTAACCAAAGCATCCCTGTATTAGGAACACTGTTTGCATCACAAATCCAAAACATAGCCCCATACTAGCTACTAGGAAGAAAATCAGCTCTACCCCAGCCAAAACCAGCACAACTTGTTAAGCTTTAGGTCTGTATTTGTAGTTTAGAAACCAACCGGAGTGTATTAGGAGATAGCAGAGCTGAGCACGTGCATGGATGAGTAGTGTTCTGATGGTCTTGTCTTTGGATGTGATTTCGGCTGGTGATGACTGAAGTGACTTCTTTAGCTGTACAAGTGAGATTGAATGACGTATGCTGATCTACTGGAAGCCTAAACAGAAAAAAAGTACCGCGTATGGATTGTCAGTAAGCATTGTATTTTCCTGCTTGTGCATTTGTGTTTCATGTGGTTTTGTTTTGCTTATTTTTGTGGGAAAGGTGTTTTCCTCTTTAGTTTGTTTTCTGGTGTAACACGAATACAAGTGAGCTCAAACCTATCATGATCAGGGAAGGACTCTTGCAGGATGTGCACAGAAAGCTGTCAAAATAAGAGGCTTTGTCTTCTTTCAATATCATCATCGCATCTGTACAAAACTCACGAATCTAAATTTTTGTACTTCTGTATCAGTATGTGAATTTAAACAATACCATGCAACTTCCTTCCACAACTGAAACAATGAACTCCATCTGACAGTTTCCATGTCTAAAAAAGCTTGTTGGCTTCCCTATGAGTCACTGTGATGCAGAAATAAAGATGGACTTTTCAGAGAAAGTATTCTCTTTCCTCTCCTCCATGCATGGTGTGGTCATGCAAATGAAATCAGGTACCCTGCAAATTAGACAAAGTAATTTTAGAATGTCTCTGGATTTCCTGTCTTGCTAGGGAGTGGGTAGTGAACTCGAGAGACACTCGCCATTGGGCTGGGGTCACGGGGTAGTTGAGTTTGGAAGGAAACTCTGGCAATTGTCTTATCCAGCCCCCTGGACTCAAAGCAGGGTGACCTAGAGAAGTTTGCTCAGAGCCATGTCCAGCTGGGTTTTGAACACCTTCAAGGATGGAGGCTCCGCAGCCTTTCTGGGCAACAGAGTGAAAATGGGTTTTTTCTTATGTTTAAGTGAAATTTCCTGTATTTTATTTTTTGTGTATGTTGCCTCTCATCATGTTGCTGGACACTACTCAGAAGAGCCTGGCTCTGTCTTATTTACTGTCCCCCGATCAGGTATTTATGTACATTGTTAACACCCCCCTGAGCCTCCTCTTCTCAAGGAAGAACAGTCCCAGCTGTTTCAACCTGGCCGCATACGACAGATGCTCCAGTCCCTTAGCCATTTTAGTGGCCCTTTGCCGCACTCACTCCAGTGTGTCCATCTCTTCCAGCACTGGAGAGCCCAGAGCAGACACAGCGCTCCAGACGTGGTCCCATAAGTGCTGACTAGAGTGGAAAGATAACTTCCCTCACCCTGCTCTCCGTGTTCTTCAGGAGCCCAGGAAGTGTATTGGCTTACCGTCAACTTGTCCCATCCCCAGGTCCTTTTTGGAAAACCTGCTTTCCAGGCAGTGGGCCCCCAGCCTGTCTCCTTCCCAGGTGCAGGACTTGGCATTTTCCTTTGCAGACCTTTATGAGGATCCTCTCTGCCCACTTCTCCAGCCCTGCTACCTCTGAATGGCAGCACAGCCATCTAGTGTATCAACCGCTCCTCCCAATTTTGCATCGTCTGCAGACTTGCTGAGGGTCCACTTTGTCCCATCAGCCAGCTCTTATAGCCTGTTTCTTTAAAAAGCGGTATTATTGAATACATGAGGAGGGAAATTGGAGCTTTAGTCCTAGATCCACCAAAACGGCCATTGAAGTTTGTAGATAGTTATTGCTTACCTGGCAGCAGTACAGAGGTGTCATAGCTAACACTGATCTGGGCAGACACTGTTTACAGGTATGTCTTCCTCAGGTCCAAGAGCATTGTAATTGCATTTTCATGGCATTGTAAGTCAGTTCGTAAGTCCTGATGGGACAATGTGACATGCTAGTTTGTATGAAGGCTGCAGATTTGTATACTACCTTTACTGTTCTTTTTTTAGACTACCTTCAGACCTGAGCTTGTGCAGAGCGTGTCTGAGTGCTTCTGTATCATAGCCCTAGCACTTCTCATCATAGAGTTAAATTATGAAGCACCAGTTCAGGTGATTCTGCATCCAGGTATAGGTAGGCTCCAAGTTCCTTCTGTCAAATATTGCTGAATATTCCTTCCCTGCTGTTTTAGGTATGTAAGATGTTACTTAGTAAAACAAGTTGCAGAGTACCCAGTATTAATACTAGTCGGCTGAATGGTCGAAACTCAAGACACTTATGAGGCTCCTGATCCATGCAGGTACCCTGGTTTTGAACCCACGATGGAGAGGAGCTCTGGAAGCTGAAAGCACGTTAGGTGCAACTTTCAGAAGCCAAAGTAGTTGAGGTTAAAGTAGTACTTAAGATTAAAGCAGATGCATCCTTAAGTAGCTTCTGCTGTTACGGATTTGAGCATTGATAGTTGTAGCTGTTAAGTCTGCTCAGTTTTATCTTCAGTACACAGAGCTCTATGACTAACTGTAGCAATTTCAAAAAAACCAAAGGTATCATTTGAAAGATGGTTTTGGGCATACATTCATGACCATTCTGATATAACCTTTTGGTTTTTTCTAGATACAGATTATACACTTTTCAGAATGTTTGTTGGGTACGAAGACGCCGAGAATACTGAAGTGTATGAAGATGAACTTTATCATGAGGAGTCATCAAGTGAGCAGAGTGTTGATAGTGAGGTGGAATTTCATCTCTACAGCCAGATCCACTATTCCCAAAATCTTGGAGAAATCAGCACACTGGAAATGGATGAAGAAGCTGATGTCGCAGGAGTCACGGGTCATAGTTCAGTTCTAACTGAGAAATGGTATGAAGACAAGAAAATCTCTGAATTCGGTAGTCATGGTACTCAGGTTTCAGATGACCCTGAGATCATCGTCTTGTCTGATACACCAGATGAAGACAGTGTTTACAAGAGCAAAGCAAAGAAGTCAACAACCTCATTAGTTCAAGGTAAAATACATATCCATCCAGGATCTTCCACACCAAATCATGCCGAAGCTGCTGGATCTAATACCCTGTATCCTGCTGGATCAGGCACAGACTTTTCAAGGCAAAGGAAGAGCACTAGTGGGAAGCTTAGCTCAGTCAGTTCTGCTGGAGCTGATGCCATCCAGGATGTGTTGGTAATAGATGATAGCTCGGAGGAGGAGAGCTTGATATCTGAAAGTGATAATGTTGAGAGTTGGATGCTTTTGGGAGCCGGTGCAGACAACAGAGATGAAAATATAATGTTGAACCTTGAAGGCTGTGCAACTCCTGTCAGTGAAGGTTAGTGCTTTTTTTAATCACTTGTCTATTCTTCTGTATGTGGGAGGATTTGTCTGCAATGATACTGATGTCAGTGTTTGAAAAGAAAGATAAACAGAAAGCAAACTGGAGTATGTAATGATGGGTGCAAAACTATGATGAAGGAAATAGCCATTTATTTATACCATTTCAATACCATTATTTCTGTAGTGTTATATATGGAAAGACAGCATTTTTGCTGGTAGAAATTTTGAAGTAATACCAGAGTGATTCATGTTGTGAAGTTTCCAGCTGTCCCGTACATTTTGTTTTCCTAAGAGTTTATAAGAAGTTGCAGGCGGGCAGGGGGTGAAATAAAGAGAGAATACAACAGTTTCTTACTGTAAATAAAGTAAGTAGAAAAAAAACAGTTTGAGGACTAAAGATACGAAGAAAATCAGAGGTAGGAGGAACTGCATAACAATAAAAAGTTTGCTGAAAAGTGCTGCAGGGCAGGAAAGTAATCAGTGCTTATAACCCAGGGAGCAGTATCATTCCTCTTTTCGTGTGATGAGATTTCTGCCACCCCCCGCCCATCTGCCTTGCCTCCTTGCCCCTCAGCAGTGCAGACACCAGTGCTTGTTAAGGCTTTGCTGCATGCTGGACCAGAGAAGTTACAGCTCAAGAAAGGGATGAACTGTAACAGGAGAGGGCAGGGAACAGAGGGGTTCCCCTTCCTGAAGCAGATTCTGTAACCACTCCTTCAGGAGTCTGGCAGTTTGGGCTGTTGATCTAAAATTTACTGTAACTTCTTGTGTGGATTCTACATTGAATAATTCAGGGAGATTCCCAACTGCTAACACTAACGTCTAACATTTTGTTATTTTCTAAAATATTCTTCCATGTTACAGTGCAGAAAGTTAGTAAATGTGATGGTTAGCGTGACAGATTTTAGATACGTGTTTGGAATCATCATACTATATAATACATACCTTGTCACCAGCAATTAAAAACTCTGTTAGACAATCAGCCATGCTTTTTTCTTGCCCACTGGCTTCCCAAAGCACAAAGATCATTTCCAGAAACAGGATCCCCTGCCAGTCTGAGAGCAAACATTACCTGAAGAAAGGCTGCTTTGGTGGCGAGGCTAGCCTCATCAGCTGCAGCACTGAGGACCTTTAAGAGAATTTTTTTTTCCTCTTCCCCATTAAAAAAAAAAAGGATACCATTGTTTTACCTGGTGCACATGTAAAGGAAGTGGTGTTGGGTGCAGGGAAATGAAATGTTCTGCAGTGCTGATCTGCAGGCTGACACTAGTAGAGTTTTTCCTCAGGGTGACTGTTTGCATGCTGCTACTAAGCAGTGTGAGAGGGGAAAGGTGAGAAATTGTCTTTGCCGCCTTTTCTAGTAAAACACCTGTTTCTTGCCTGTATATGTTCGATAACTTTTTGCTTAGAGTTGTCTTTGTGTACGTTTTTGCATAGCTATTCATAGTCCACACCTAAACAGACTGTAGCGTGCACTCAGTCTCAAGTAGTTGATTAAAGACACTAGTGTGCTTGCCCAAGCCTCAGAGATTTAAGAAGTGCTTTCCCTATTCCTAGTGCAATGCCAGAAGAGTGGCAGAGCATTCAGTTGCCATGCCGGAACCCCAGACAGCCACATTATATTTGGAATTTATGTAATTTTTTCTCCCTATAAATCTTTTAAAATGTGGTTTCTAAGAAGTAACATGAAGTTGCAAAATTTCATGAATATCTTTCTTTTTGTATTTTCATATCCTGTCCTTTTCTCTGAAACTAGAGCTAATTAGCATGTATTTTTCTTAAATTACTCTGCCTCTTGGGGAGCAAATGTTTGGTGCTGGTGCTGTGAGATGACTGCTTTAACAGTTTGTGCATATCACAGTTAATAACATTTTCTGGGTGGCGTATATTTTTCTCATAACTGCTGGGCAGGCAAATGACCTGGAGTTGGGTTTCTTTTGTTCAGTTTACTCTGTGTATCTCCTTGGATTTATGTACCAAAATTGCTGATGGTAGCGCTAAAGATTGGCAAAAAAAACCAGAAGATAGAAAAATGTTTGAACAGTACTTGAGACTTTAAGCATATTTCAAAATCACATACACGCATGTTGGGAAACATTCTGTAATTAATTTATTGGAGTGATTATGCTCACTAGGTGTAACATGAAAATGAAAATTCATGTTTTCATTCTTTGTGCTGTTCTAGCAAAGGTGTGCCAGTGCTAACGAAGAGAGGCTTTTAAAAATCAATATGGAAGGTTAATATCAGGAGACAGTTTTGCTAACTTATGGTATGTTTTTGTAACAAATGTAGTAATGTTCATAGATGTTAACAACAAGCAAGCCACATTCAAAGCAGGTAACAGAGGCAGAATTTTCCTGTGCTGTATAGACTTGACATACTGTTCAGAACTACAGTTGTTTCATTTAATGTAGGCAACGTAAACATTTTTTGAGATGCTTGAATGGGAAGTCAAAGACAGCCGCACAAGAGGCTCATAAGTATAACTGTTCTCCTCCTACTCTGGTTTGTATTCTCAAAGCTACGTCAGAACCTCCTCAAAAGCCCTTCTTGCTACTTGCTTCACATCAGTAGTGGTTTTGCCAACAGCAGCTTTGTGCCTGGAGATGTGGGACCTATGGAACATGCATCAGGCACACGCAGCCGTTTGGGAGCAGGTGCTAGATGTGCACGCACTTCTCTCCCTTCATTTTGGCTTTTGCCTTTCTACGTATGTATGACTGTCGTCGTTTAACCCCAGCCAGTGACTAAGCACCACGCAGCTGCTCGCTCACTCCTGCCCACTCCCAGTGGGATGGGGAGGAGAATCGGAAAAAAAGTAAAACTAGTGGGTTGAGATATGAACAGTTTAATAACTAAAGTAACATAAAATATAATACTACCATTGAAAATAAAAATATAATAATTGTAATGAAAAGGAATATAACAAAAAAAAACCCAAACAAGACAAGTGATGCACAATACAATTGCTCACCACCCGCTGACCAATGCCCAGCCCATAGTCTGTGCCTCCCAGCCAGCTCCCCCCAGTCCTGTGTCTGGGCCGCGATGGGCCCCCCCCGGCAACCGCCCCCAGTTTCTATACTGGCCATGCCGTTCTACGGTATGGAATAGCCCTTTGGCTGGTTCAGGTCAGCTGTCCTGGCCGTGCTCCCTCCCAGCTCCTTGTGCACCTCCTCACTGGCAAAGCATGGGAAACTGGAAAGTCCTTAGGTTAGGATAAGCACTGTTTAGCGAAACTAAAACATCAGTGTGGTATCAACATTACTCTCAAATACACTGTACCAGCTACTAAGCAGAAAAGTAACTTTATCCTAACCAAAACCAGGACAATGACTTTGCAGAAGGCCTTAACCTTTGTAGATTTCTTCCAGCTGTGAACAAGTTAATGATCCGTTTGACTCTGCGGTACGCAATGGGCAAAGCGCAGGCATGTGTCTGAGGCAGAGAGGGTGCCGCAGGGCTGGGCTCCCGTCAAACCCCCGGTTCTCAACTGCGTCCCAAATTCCAGTGAGTGTTATTCAGGTAGCTCCCACATGCAAAAGTTTGGTTCAGCTGCTCTGTTTCTAATACGTACAGTGATGGGCATGCAAAGACATAGGCTTAAAATACATTGGTGGTGTTTGTCTGTGTGTATGTATTGAAAAGCTGAAACAGCATCAAAATAGTTTTAGGGAACTAAAGCCATAAATCTTCCTAATGTAAAGTAACCATAATTTGATTATTGAGCTTACGCAGCATTGTATCTCCAGTTCTAAGGACTATAAGGGACTCCATTGATGAAACATAAAAATTTTAAATCTGAAGGAAGAAATGCATTTAAAAAATGTGTGTTGGCAAAGTATCCTCTCAAAGATATTCTCTGCGAATTCATTTAAATTCTCTTGAGATATGCACAGTTCTGTTTTCAGGGTTGTTAAAGAACGAGGTCAAGTATTTAGGTGACTACACAGTATGTAAATTACTATTTTAGGGCTTGTAGTATCAGCAAGGATGGACATAGAGTGTAGTGACTGGTGAAGTCTTGCCTTTTCCCTTTTCCCTTGAAACTGCCTGTGACTGTGTAAATGGGATAGACCTCCCGTGACAATGTCATGGTGTGTCTAATGTCCAGTTTACTTCACATTAAAAAGGGAACTGAAACGTGAACAATTCTCTGACTATGAGAGTAGCCGATTATGTCATTTGATGGGTCTGTCTTCATGTCTGAGTCTCTGAAATAGAGATGCTGAGGTTCCACTGGAGTCAGAAATAACTCCTCAAGGAAAGGAATTAGGCATATCTCGTTCTGTTAACTCCTCCACATCTTGTTTGCCTGTCCTGCTCTTGTCTAACAGCCCTATTATACCTTATTATAATATTCGCTATAAACAAATGACGCTTTCTTGATGCCTCCAGTACAGAGAGAGTCTTCTCCCCGTACAGCCTTCTAGCTTCAGTCACCACCGTCTGCTGTGACAGAAAGGGATGTCCCTTTGCCTTGGGAAATGAGTTCTGGTTCCTGACGGTAAATCAAGATTTACCAGTACCCTTCTGTCTTCGGCTGGCATCTTGAAGGTTGTGGCTGGTCCACAAACACTGCTGTTGAGCACACAGCTGAAAACTTTTCCTCCCTTTTCTACCCTCTTTCCAAATGGCTTTAGATGCGTTTAACTTTATATTTTTTCTTGTCTAATACCACGTTAAGCAACTCCATATTTGTGCCCATATTTCTGTGAAATACAACTCTTCATCATGCGTCTGCTAGTTTCTCAGCACATACAGCTGTTTGGCACCCTTTATTAACTGGGATATGAAGATGGGCATTGGCTTTCTTGTTTCACATAGAGGGATTTCGGGAAAAGCACTTACTCTGTCCCTCCTTACTCTGACTTTGTTTTTCTGTGTTAAGATTGTGCATAGCTTGGAAGCGAAGCAGTTGAATTACAGACGGTCGGCCAAGCTGGAAGACAGTGACCACGTACCTGTGTGTGTTACTTGCCCCACCCTGGTCACCTGT